CCGCCGCGCCCGCTCCGCGCCCGCCCCGCGCGCCCGCCCGCCCCGCCTGCTGCCTGCCCCCGGGCCTCGGGGACCGCCCGCGCAGGACGGGGCCGGAGATGCCCTCCGCCCAAGCCACTTCTCTAGAGCGAAATGAAGGGGCGCTGGCCCGATCCCGGGGCCCCGCGCAGCGCCTGCTCTGCACAGGCTCGGAAGGCCCTCCCGGCGCCGGGACGCACAGACCTTGTCCGGAGTGAGGACGGGGTCGGTGGGTCGTGCTGGCTCGGGCGCCGCCCACGAGCTTCGGCGTGCTCACTGTTGAACCGATTCAAAGTTACCGCCCGGCCAGAGAAAGGGCTAAGAAGGCTCTTTAGGCCCAGGCGCAGGCAGCCAGTCCCCCTACCCCCTCGGCAAGGGTGCTCCCCTCCCCGACCCCTTTCCTCCCTCCCCCTCATCAAGGGGTGCTCCCTGAGCCCTCTCGGTGTCTTTCAGGCTCCCCACCCCATCCCCGGGAACCGAATTGGGGTCCTCTGGAAGAGCTGCCAGCGCTCCTAGCCGCTGAGCCGTTCTGCCCCATTCTTCACCTGTGCAGCTTAGGGCCTGTGAGCGCATCTACGTGAAATGCTTGGGTGTGAACATATATGGATGCATATTCCCACTTCACCCAGAAATGAGATTGTGGGATCGGGTGGGCAGGGTACCTTCGGCTTCCTGAGACAGAACCTAACAGGTTTCCAGAATGGCTGCTCAGGGCTAGAGGTGCAGCCTAGAGCCTGCAAGCTGGGATCCTAAGGCCCTGGGTTCAATTCCTGCTCCAGGAAGGGAGAGCACACCGTTCTGGAATCACCAGTGGTCTGAGAGTTACTGCTGCGTGCCATTCTTGAAAGCACCAGGCACCAAACTCTTGTTAATTCCAGTCCTTGCTCAGGTACCTGGTGAAACTTGATTCCCAATAGCAGGAGGGACTGTCTCCGGGAAGGAAGGCAGCTCCGGAGGGCAGGGCTGCGGGATGGAGGCTGAGGAGGTGGCAGACGGGAACAGGGGAACAGAGCTGAATGGCGTGCAGTCTGAATATGATGCAGTTGGACTCATCGCTTTGTGTGCCCACTTCAAACTTATGTGCATTTACTCCCCTACTGGTGGACGGCACTGGGCATCTGCTGTGTGTCAGCCACTCAGACAAGCGCATCCTGAGGATTCCGCCCACAGGATGGAGCCAGAGCCTGCAGGGTGGTGGGCCTGTGCTAGCACTGGGGGCGCCCACCAATGCGTTTCTTCTTTGTTTTCTCAAGTTAGGCTTCCTCACAGCTGAGTTTGAGACTTTGTCAGAGTTTCCCACGAACTTTATTACAAACACAATGTCATTTATTTTTCCCCTTAGCTTGTATTTGTCTTTTCAGAAAAAAAAAAAAAAAAGCTTTAATCTTGGTGAGGTCAAATTTGTTAAGTTTTCCATTTATTACTCATCCTTTTAATGTCAAGTCTAAACTCTCTTGGCCTAGCCTAAAGATCTTTTAAGTTTTGTATTGCTTGGGATGCAGTTTTTGTGTAAGATGTGAGGCTCCGGTCCACATACGTGGAAGGCACCCATGAAAAGCCACCCGCCTCTAACGGGTTCATGTCTAGTGAACTGCATCATTGCCTGGGCACTCTAGTTCCATTTTTGGGGTCTCTGCTCCATGCCATTCCACTGATCTACAGTATAGGGCTGTGTCTTTTCTTTCTCTCTTCCCGTCTTTTATGATCCTGTCTGTATGAGATTTGCTTGCTCTGTAACAGCTTCTTTGGGGCGAACACTTAGGGGACCGCTACACAACTAGTACAGAGAGTTCAGGAGACAACTATGCGATTTTACAAAATGCTTGTATTTTGTCAGGCCTGGTGGCATGTGAGTTCCCACTAATTCTCTCCAACACGTGCTAATAGAATTATTTTAGCTAACTTATGTTGTGGATTTATAAACACGTTTCTGTTTAATCCCAGGTGTGGGCTGTGGGGCTGATTCAGATGGTCACAGCAGCAGACTATTTTCCTCAGGCGGGCTCTGAGAGGAGCTCTTTGCCAGCCTCAGATAGTTTAAATCTGAGGACTCTGGAGAGAGAACAAATGCCAGAGCCCAGAGAGTGTAGAGAAGAGAAAGAACAAGGCTGCTGCTGCTTCCCCCTTGCTGCTCCTGTTGCTGTTGTGAGACAAGAAGATGGAGATCTCCTGAAGTGAGGACTGGACTGGCTCCAAGGAACCAGAGGACCCTGACCAGTAGGAAGCAGCTAACAGAACTGTGCTCTCCTCTCCCACTAACCTTTCTCTCTCCTACCTGGTGTCGGGGTGTTGGGAGGGAGAAGATATAAGAAACATAAAAGATTCTTTTAAAAAGTGCACCAGCAAACTTACTGAGTTAAATCACTTCCACACATGGCTTCACTTTCATTTCCATCAATATCTAAGAAGCTAGACATCTCGCCACGTTCACTGTCTGCACCAAGTCCAGCCTGCATCTGGCCCACTTAGCCAGGCCTGTGTGTTTTTCTCCTTTCTCCAGGCTTCCAGCCAGGTGTCACCAAGAGACTGGGTTGGGAGGGCAAGAGGCCTCTTTCGAGTGTGACCATTGAAAACCTTTCCACAGGGAGTTTGAATGAGAATGGCTCCTATGGGTGCAAGTTTGAATACTTTGCTCTCCGTTGGTGGAACTATTTGGGAAGGATTAGGAGGTGTGGTGGCTTTGAGATTTCAAAAGCTCACGCCATTCCTACTTAGGTTTCTCTGCCTTGTGCTTATGGAGCAAGATGAAGCTCTTGGCTGATGTGCCAGCCTCCTGCCTGTCTGCTTCTGAAACAGAGCCAATACATTTTTTCTTCTACATTGGCTTGTCAGAGCTATTGGAAAGTGGCTAAGACAAAGGGATCCCTCCCCTGGAGCTACTCCTACCCTTCAGGGTTCCTCCCCACTCTTCCTCCTTTTTCTTCTTGTTTTTGAGACAGGGTTTCTCTGTGTAGCCCTAGCTGTGCTGGAACTTGCTTTGTAGACCAGGCTGGATTTAAACTTGGAGATCCTCCTGCTTTGAGTTTAGCAATCTGCCTGCCTCTGCCTCCTGAGTGCTGGGATTAAAGACCAGGCCTCTCACTTTTCTTAAATTAAACAAAAATCGATATTCACTCTGCTCAAACAAAACAAAAACTTTGCATTTGATTACCTGACCCTATTTTCTTGTGTTGAGTCCACTATGGGGTCCAGGTGGAGCAGCTGGAAACAGAATGGGACCACTCCAGTGTATGTACCGAGGGTAGAAGATTCTGGGATAAAATGGTGCCGTCATTTTGACAGTTTGACTACATTAGAGACCCAAGCTGACATACACTTCCATTTTTATTTTTCAGCAAAGATATGCCATCTTTACCATATCCACAGAGCTGTGGTTTACAGAAACCTGAAGTCCACAGTGAACTGCACACAGCCCCTTCTTTCCTCCTGCAACAACTCAAATCTTGTAAACTGAGACCCTCGCCAGTGTGCGCCCTCCTGTGGCAAACAGCGCGGGACAGGGCACAAAGAACTCTATGACATGGCACCAACTGTTTTTTAAAAGGTAGCAGCAGCCACGATTAACACAATGCTGCTTTCCTGATAATGCTGTCCAAAGAGAACGCTGCACTTTCCAAGTTTTGAAGTTTGAATTCCTGTTGTATTGTTGCTGATAACTCATTCCCTTTTGGTGAAACTAAAATACTGTCTCCTGAAAAGCCATCACAAAACGTTGTTTATGGTTGTGATAGCCACTGGAAAGGTCTTAGGAATGCTTTTATTTTTCACAGTTCTTGGAATGTTCTCCTTTCAAGATGAAAAGGTTCAACCGAGCATGGTGGCTTACACATCCAATTCTAGCACCCTGTGTTTGAAGAGGGTCCATTAGGATGACCTTTTCTCAAGCATGACAACCACACACCTCTACTCTCCAGAGACTATCCTCCACACACACACTCTACACTTCACACACACACCACACATACCTGTATGCACAAGGCAAAGGAAAACCAAACCGTATCACACAGACATACATATATTATATGCATATATATATAGACATATATATATAGACATATATATATAGACATATATATAATGTGTATATATATATATATATATATATACACACATATTCTCATATATATGAGAATTCACTTTTCTCAGTTTTAAGAAAATCATAATTGTTTGCTCAAAAACTGACTTGTTATCCCTGGTTGCTTTCAGGGATTCTCACTGGTCATGTGGTGGGTCTTTTAATTTTGTCCTGCAGATCAGTGGTTGGCAAATTCTTGAACATACCTCAGTAAGAGGAGAGTGAATGTCTTAGTTTTTAAAAGATTGCATAATGTGCATGTATGTATGTGGGACACGTGTGGATGTCAGAAGGCAGCCGTGGTGTAGTTCTGCCAGTCTTGACCTGGGGATCAAACTCAGCCAGTCAGGCTGGTGGCAGCAGCTTTACCTGCTGTGGTGTGAACAGGAATGGCTCATAGACTGGCCTGTGAGTGCTTGGCCGTAGGGAGTGGCACTATTAGGAGGTGTGGCCTTGCCAGAGAAGGAGTGTCACTGTGGGGGGTGG